AATTTTTTTTACCATTATAAAGTATATTACATTAGCTTTAATTTAAGATATATATAAAAGTGTCAGACTTTCCGGAAAACTTTCAAAAGTTAAGTTCCAAAAAAATCTACTTTCTACATGCATTTTTAAGATTTAAACCCCCCTTGTATATAAGGAAATAGTCCGATTTAAAAAAAAGTATGTCGAATAAAAGATGCACATAAATACACTTCTCATGAAAAAATTGTGTTGATCCACACATTTTTCAAAAAGTTATAGCATTTTATAGTTAAAAATGTAAAATACAAAATCGAAAATTTTCACACGAAAATAGCATTCGGTAGCCATTTTTACCATGAAGTCCAGAGGTCAAATTTAATTTTTCCATAATAAAGAACATTACATTAGCTTTAATTTAATATATATATAAAAGTGTCAGACTTTCCGTAACATTTTCAAAAGTTAAGTTGAAAAAGTTAATTTTTTGTGAAAAAGTTGTCTTTTTAAATCCCCCCTGTGGGCAGGTTAAGTATCAGATTTACAATAAATATGTACCAAATGAAAGATAAAGATATCAAGCATCTATAAAAAAAATTATATTGATATGTTCATTTTTGAAAAAGTTACGGCAGTTTTTATTAAAAAAAATTGAAAAAATTTCGAAAATAAGCGATTTTTAAATTTGTAATTTTTTTGGAGGTTTCCCCCATTTACGGGGAACGAGGGAAATTTTTTCAATTTTGAAGGGTAATGTCTTCGACTAGATACGATTTGTGATCTTTTGACGTATCGTTGAAAGAAATCCGTTCGGTGAGAGCTGAGAAAAAGTGGTAACAGACACAAAAAAAAAAACACATCATAGTAAAACCAATACCTTCTCAACTTCGCATCGAAGCCAAAAGAAAATATGAGTACATTTTGCTTTTGGATAATCCACTAGTTTTTTAAAATTAAACATTATCTATAGATTTGCATCGAATCGTTTATTATGGTAGTGATTTTAATCACTGTCAGATATCATCTATACTTGTCCACAATGTGCCGCAACCCCACTGTGCTAACGTTTTTTTTTTTTAATTTGCTATTTTTTTACCATTGTAAAGATACATATAATATAAATTTTCAAATTGTAACCATATAATATTCTATTTGTATTTTAATGTATTTTTTACATTTCGAATAGTAAATTTAAACACTTGGTGATATCATTATTGAAATAATTTTAAATATTTGATTTATGAAGTCTAACTGTTATAATGGCAAATGTATTAAAATCTATTTTTTTGTTTTTACGAAAAACATTATTTTAGTATAAATAATTATTATTTGCAATATTTTAGTATAAATTGCAACACAACATACGTAAAATTATTCAGCTAAAATTTTAACATTTAAAAAAACATTTTTTAAGTTGTTATTTTCTTTAAATCATTATAATGCATTTAAAAACTATACTAATATTTTGTGCAGTATGTTTTTTAACCGATACAATGGTAAGTATTTCTTTAACTATTTATTTATTTTTTTTTTAACAAATGTATTACATAAATATTTGAGGGTGACGGACTTAATGCAATCCAAATACAATGCTTGCAAATATTGGTAAAAAAGTATAATGATAAAGATAAAATAAATAAAGTGATAAAAGCTTTTAATGTCATTGAAGAATACAAATATAAACCTGCAGGTAATTATTAAATATAATTTTTAGCTTTGTTTTATTATTATAAATTTTTATTAAAAAAGATTCTATTAGGATTAGACTCTCAATTTCTCATAATTTTTATGGCTTTTGTTAGTTACATATGTAACTCAATGTAACTGTTATAAAATATTATACATGTTCTCCACTTATGTGTTATGGAGGTGTGCATTTTATTTTTTTTTAATGGTAACATACATATTTCAATAGGCTATTAAAAATAAAATTATGTGATTAAGAAAACCATTGATCAATAACATCTTTTGGACTAGTATTTCAGAAGGGAAATGTCCAGTGATAAAAAAAGCAGGTATCGCCCTATTACCGTCAATACTTTAATTTGTTAATAACTTCTGAACTAATGGTCTATAAGTTGTTATCGACTAGTCATTTTCTAAATTACAAAATTTTCTATTTTATAAGTTAGGTAAATATGTATGTTTCTATTTAAAAAAATATAGTTGATATCGTAGGTATCAAGTTAATATAAGTGGGAAATGGTTTTTTGTGACGCCGCTATCATAGATATGCAGTATTTATTGTCAATTATGACTTTATCAAGATTTATGTATTCTGTATTGTCTGTTGATGTATTTATTGACTCAAAAAAATATGCCTTACTACCATTAATAATAAACGCTCTGTATTTGTGATAATGTCATCATAAAAAACCAATTAGCTACCGGTATTTGTAATTCCTTGTGTGTTATACATGTATATTAACTCAACAATTTGAAAGTTTAAAGTGTTCTATATTTTATAGATACAGAACATAAAAGAGTTTATGACATTCTACATTTTATGCATACATTTGATAAGACGGGTGATAAAATAATACTAACTGGTGATGGACATCCAGTAAAATCATACATTATTAGTTCATTATCTTTTTACATGACTCAATAATAAATTAATTTATATTTTTAGATAATAAAACTGAATATAAATGTGTTGAANCACATTTGATAAGACGGGTGATAAAATAATACTAACTGGTGATGGACATCCAGTAAAATCATACATTAATTAGTTCATTATCTTTTTACATGACTCAATAATAAATTAATTTATATTTTTAGATAATAAAACTGAATATAAATGTGTTGAATAGGGTGTTCAAAACTTGTTCTTCATTGAACATAAACAACGATGGTGTTATAGAGAATGAGAATTACCATCAGTTGATTGATTCATTAGGCTTCAGTGGTCTTATTAATGATGTAATTATAAATTTATTTACGTGTTATTTTGTAGATATTATTATTCAGGCTAATACATACGAATTTTACAAAAGAATTTAGAACCACTTATGTGTAAATTTTCAGTAATTCTAGATTATTAACACGATGTATTATGATAACAAACGATATTTTATAATCATTATTTTAAATAAATTCAATGATTTTATATATAAAAGATATCAAGATTAATAGGTAAAAGACAAGTAAAATATATAAGTTTTTTTAATTTTTTGGTTAAAATTGATAAATATGGTGATTTTGAAAAGTTAATATGACATATTAATTATTTAATTGTTCTTTTTACATGAATCATTTGATAATGTGATGAGTATTTTACTAAATGTTATATAATATAGATAAAATGACCAGCCAATGTCCAAAAATTGACTGATCTCTTTTGAGTTAAAATAATTTGGGTCTTTTCCTTGGTATATTTAATTATTTCTGAAATACATTTTTTAAAGTTTATTATTCAATAGAATTCAGCTTTTCTTTAATTTGTATGTGTTTTTAGCTATTACAGTAAATGCATATAAATATATGTCATCAAAAAATGGTTGTATAAATTTAAAGTAATTGTAAATATTTAATCCTCTTCATTCATTTCTTCTGGATTAAAAATGAATTTATAAAACAAAATTTTTTTTTTATTTTAACATTTTTTTTTTAAATATAACAATTTTAATTTATATTTTTGAAAGTTTTAGCTTCGGTACAAAGCTGAGAGAAATTAATTTTACTAAGATGTGTTTTTTATGTCTTTCACCACTATTTCTCAGCTCTCACCGGTTCCAATTTCTAACAACGATACGTCAAAAGAACAAACATCGTATCTAGATAAAGAAATTGCCCTTGAAAATTGAAAACAATTCTCTCGTTCCCTTTAAATGGGAAAAATTTCCAGAATACTTTAGATATTTAAAATCGGTATATTTGGACTTTTTTTAACTGCCATAACTTTTTGAAATGAACGAAGTAATATAATTTTTTTGAAAATTTGTAATGAATAAAAGGAATGTTTCAAAACTTGAAACATAAACTTTTTATTTAACTTACGAAAATAGATTTTTTTCAGCTTTTTTTTTTCAAATTTTTGAAAATGTTACGGAAATACTGCGTTTTTTAAACATATGTTAAATATTAGAACTTATTTTACATAATATAAGTTAAAGAAAACAATTTTTTCCCGGCGACTTATTTTCTATGAGCAAAAAGCCGTCGAGGTTGAACAAAAAATATGGGTTAATTTTGCTATTGGAATAGAAATTTGCCGTTTTAGAAATTCTTATTTTGAATACATAGACTTCAATTTTTTTAGAAATAAATACATTTTTGAGATATTTTCTTATTTTTTTATTCAATTGAAAACTGACCATGTATTATTATAGTATTACAATACTCATTTTAATTCCTAATCATCACTTATATAATATAAAGTCAATTAAGTACAATTTCTCTTTTTATTTTTATCTGTTCACTATTCGGCTCTTAATTTATTTTTTAAAGCTTGATCCGTCCCTAATTAATAGTTTTAAATGTTTCACTGAATTTTATTATTATGGAGAGCTTAGCTTATTGATCTTATACTATTAATGGACTGTTATCACCTTTTTAGATAATAATCTGTGACACGACTTACGTCGCAAAAATGTGGTCGACACTGGTTTTGAGGGTAGAGACCCGTGGGCCGTTTATTAAATGAGCGACAACAGATTATTTTAACAAAAATAAAACAAACCGAAAAGATTAACACAGTAATAATAATCTTCGCATAATATCGCGGCACTTTCGCTGGCGTCGACGACGCGATGTTCGGCGTAATCCTTGGACGGCAAAATGGGTAGCAGCGTTGTAGGCGACGGTGCGCGGGTGCGGTTCGGCTGTCGACGTTGTCGCTGACACAACGGGAGGAAGACTCTCGCACCATTTGCGGCGGGTCGTCGTCGGCCGTGCGGCATTTGCTGGACTTTGCACCGTAGCGTATAACACGCGGTGTTGGTCAGTCAAATACTCATAGTAGGGCGACGGCTGATAAAGGTGGCACGAGTCGCGGGGCATCGTGTATAACGAAGCGACGCGGGCCGTGTCANGAATTCGAATGTATTGATTCTCCAGTTACCGATGTAATGGAGACGCTTATTTTTAAAATAAATTTAGTATTAACGTCAACTACGTCCACAAATAGTATGCCTGCTTCTATAACGCCTCAATCACAATATAACACATATTTATCTAATGTTGATTTGCCTAAATTTGATGGTAATCCCGAAAAATGGCGTTCGTTTTATGAAAGATTTGATTCTTTTGTTTCCTCTAGAAATATTAATAAAATCGACCGGTTTCATCTATTATTATCATGTTTATCTGGTCCGGCGTTAAACACAATAAAATCTTACCCACTCTCTGCTAACTATGATGACGCATGGAGCGCTCTTATGGAGCGGTATGAAAACCAACGACTATTAGCATCAGTACATTTGGATAGGTTATTTTCGTTCAAACCAATAATGACAGAATCATTATCAGCCTTAAATGATTTTATTGATGTTTTTAATGACAATGTAACAGCCATAAATAATCTCGGTGTGGAAGATTTATCTGGGTTTTTACTTTTTTATATGGGTGCTAAGGTATTAGACGTAGACACGCGTCGTTTGTTTGAGGCCAGAGTATCACAATCTACAATTCCAAATATAGACGACCTGATTTCTTTAGTTCGACAACGCTGTAGAATTTTAGAAAATATTAATTCATGTATTGTACTTATAAGACTATAAAATTTGTAATCATGAAATAATTAAGAAAATAGGAATTGGTGTTGCTTTTGGAAAAATTCAATAAATCTACTAAAAATTTTACACTATAGACATACACCTAAACAAAAATTTCTATTAATCCATACATTTTTCAAGAAGTAATATTAGTATAAAGTCGAAAAAATAAAATATTAAATAAAAATGTTAACGCAAAAATAGCATGTTTTTTGACTACTGAAGCCATATATGTGTAATATTAATAATGTTCAATTTAACATTGTTTCAAATTCAGAGTATTTCAGGAACATTTTCAAAAGCTAAGTTGAAAAAGTTACCTTTTTGTGAATAGCTGCTATTTTGATTTCCCCTTTGGCAGATAATGGTTTAGATTTTTAAATATATATATATCTAATACAAAGGAAATACCTAAAGCATTTATAAAAATATAAATAAATAATTAAATTTTAATATTTAGGTAATATTATTGACATACTAGAATTTTCAAAAAAAATTGTCATAATTTCTATAAAATGATAAAGTAGTATTATCTATACAGTGATATAAAATCATTAAACATATATTTTTTTAAATTTGGTTTGATTTACCAGAAATCCGGTTGGTTAAAATATAATNTGATTTATCAGAAATCCGGTTGGTTAAAAGATAATGGTATTGAAATATAAAACAAAAAAATTATCTAGAATACATATTTATTTAAGAATTCAGATAACCGTAAAAATACAAAATAGTAGGGTCAATCCATGCCAAATCATCCAGAAGTGGTTGCACGACCACCTCATATTTTTCTGAAATTTTCAGGGTTTATTCATTATGCTATATTTAGATTAAAAATTTTTTTTTTTTTTTTTTATCTTCCCATTTTTATGGCTATTTCAATGTAAAAAAAGTTAAAAATAGCTAGATCGTTAAAAAACACACAGATTATTCAATTTCAATTCAATCAAGTTAAAATTTTAGATTTGACCCTATTATAACTTAAAGTTTACATTAAAAAAAAAAATACCATAAGAAGTCTTAAGATATCATTAACTGACATTTATGAAGACACAATATTCTAACTACTAAGAAAACCATGATTATAAATATTTTACATACAATATTATCATAATAATTTTATTTATTTATTTTTTATTTTCGAACTAAAATAATGAACTGAATATTTATAACGTGTCTAATAATTATATTGAATGATATACAAAAAAAATTACAAAAATGTGGTTTAAAAACAACAAAAAACTATCATTAAATTATTTGATTTTTACTGATTTTCTAATGCTAAATTTTACATGTTACACATTTTTCTAAAACTTCAAATTTTTATGGTGTATAAAACAGATATATATCTACAAAACTAAAAAAAATTTTTTTGGAAATTAGGTTACCCAACAGAGATATTGCACATAGAATACACGTATTTTTATAAAATTTCTAACTTTGTAAGCCTCTAAATCCCAAGATAATTGTTTTAAATATTTGAAATTTAGTTGAAACATAGATTATACACTATACAATACCACATGTAAAAATCACAATAAAATAATAACTTCTTAATGGTTTTAAGTGAGCTCAAAAATGCCAATTTTCACAAAAAAGCGCCATTTCTTGAAAGTCATTAAAGTTTAGAATTTCACATAATTTTTTTTTTTTTTAATGTAAACTTTAAGTTATAATAGAGTCAAATCTAAAATTTTAACTTGATTGAGTTGAAATTGAATAATCCGTGTGTTTTTTAACGATCTAGCTATTTTTAACTTTTTTTACATTGAAATAGCCATAAAAATGGGAAGATCATAAAAAAAAAAAAAAAATTTTTTAATCTAAATATAGCATAATGAATAAACCCTGAAAATTTCAGAAAAATATGAGGTGGTCGTGCAACCACTTCTGGATGATTTGGCATGGATTGTCCCAGTATTAAAAAACTTTTATTGGAATATTTTACGAGATTGGCAGAGTCCATTAAGAATCAGTCGGTCATCGAATATCGGTCGCGATTTTTTTTCCTGTTGAGTGTTCGACGTATCGATAAATTGTTCGTTCTACCTACTTCATTGAATAGGTTTATTTACGATGCCTTAATTAAAGTCTGTACTCTTGGCTCACGTTTCTTTAGTTAAAAGAATCGTATAAATTGTTAACCATACCACAAAATTGTAGTGATTATTATTAATTTTTTTTTTTGATAAACCAGTGTAATAAACGGTCACGACTCTTTACAACCTTAACATCTATTTAGTTTACCTCCTTTAACTGGGTCATCTCCGTCCTACAGACACTTCACTATCTACTGGATACATATTACACATTATTTATAAAGTTGCATTTTTAGCTTATTTACGATTATAATCTTGTATATTCTGTAGTAAGCTTAAGTAAATTATCATTATATCATTAATTATCATTTTCTAGAAATTTTTCTACATTAGCCTTTTTCAATAATCACTTTTTTGTTGAATAATCTTCATAAACTTCCAAATTTTCGTCTTGAATTGTCCTTGTTAACAATCAAGTTTTTGGTTTTATAATTTATTCTATTATCGAATAATGAAAAAAATACATACTCTTTATTTAAATAAAAAAAATGGTTAATAATTTTACCTACAGTTATGTTTGATATATTTTTAATAATTTTTCTATTATTGTGCAGCTGTCTTAGAAACTATACATCATTCAGAGGGTCTTCATTAGTTGTAAAAGACAAAAAATAGTATTTAGCACAATATGAAAAAGAATTCTTATTAAAATGTTTAAAATATTCTAAATCGTTTTAGTATAAATTATAATAAAGACATTTTTTTCTTTTTTTGTAAAATTGAGGAATTAATATATGTGTTTATATTAACAAATAAGACTTGAGAGAATGAATCACTTTTCCACGGCTTAACAATTTTTTTTTTTAAGAAAAACACATGATCTATTATTTCTATCTATCACTACGTAGTAATATCACATACAAATGCTTGTACATAATTTAATAAGGAACATTCTTCTATTAAATAAACTATAAAACGTATTTCAATACCAGTACCTAAACTTATTTCTGAAACACCTAATAATTACTCCACATTTAGACCCTTACCTTGTTAGCTTACTCACAATTAATTTAGCTGATGTTTTAATGTATAAGCATCTCTATGCAACTAAATTTGCACTTATTAACACAGCTAATTATTTAAATCCTTCTAATTAATATAATCAATATATGATTATTGATTATTGCGTGATTATTATTATTATTATTGATACGTAAACTAATAATTATTAGTTTACGTATGAATAATAAATAAATATATCTAAATCAAAAAATATGTAACTAGCAGAATGTATTATGTACAGTATATCACTATAAATAATTATTTAAACACCAAAAGTGCATACAAATGATTACTAAGACTTCTATTTTAATGATTAATTACAATAAAAATACAAAAAAAATAGTGATTTTAACGAAATTTTTAGTTTTTTCATAAATTTACTGTTAAGAGTAATTATAAAGATTCTGATCACTTATTAATCTAAAAAATTGAATATTTTTCCCTCATTAATATTTTCTATTTAATTATATAAATTCTAAACTTGGAAGTTGACCTGAAATTGTGTTTAAAAGTTTCAACATTTCTTAATTATAAACTATCATAAAAGCAACTTAAAGAATCAAAAAAATATGTTATGTTTAATGAATACAAAAACCAATAAGAATAAATTTGATTTTATGACAAATATTGACTTAATAGTGCCACGTTTTAATGAATTTTAATAGATTAAAAATTTTGTAAGTAATTTATTTACATTTAAATGAAAAAAATTTGCTTTGTGTCTGTTAAAATTAGAAAGAGAAAAATAAGGCCCACTCTAATACTCTTGTTATTAAATACCCTCTCTATTTGGACGTAATACTATAAATTATTTTTTAGATTTTAGAAAAAAATACTGAATGATTGGCATATAATCTTTAGGAAAAAATGTAATTATTTAACAATTTATTATAAAAAATCTATTATTTTATTTATATTGTTATGTTTTTTAGATAAATACGATTTAAGTGAAGTATTAATAGAATTATTAGAGTTCCAGGCACAATTGTATAACTGGAAACTTGGTAAAGTAGAAGATCTGGAAAAATTCGATAAATTTATTGAAGAAATCTTAAATGATGACACTCCTGATCAAATAATGCCTGCACTACAATTACTATTAAATAATTAAGTTGTAATTTCTATGTCCAATCATTTATTGTATTTTATTAATATTTTTATTGCTTTAAAGTAATTTATATCTCGTTTTTTAATTTATTCTTGTATTAACAGTGTACTCTTTCATTTGTTTTTTAGTCATATTTAAAATAATCCAATAACGTTATTATATGAACGCTATGTGGGTTAAGTTTCATTATATGTCCAGTTCATGTTGGCGTCTACTTTTTGCATATTGTTATAAATATTTAAAAGACACGCTTATTAGAAACATTACATACTGATAGTAGACTACACAAATAGAGTCAAGAAATTCATAAATAACAAAGAAAAAGTTGTAACGTAATAAAGTTATCATGAGTATCAGGTCACAGGTAACTGTATTCAAACAGTGCGCGTCGTACATCCGTAGGTTCAGTGTTGCACATACACACATAATTATTGATTAATTTGATATATATTTCCTACCACCTGTGATTCTCATGCTAAAAAACCATAATGATGAACACACTGTCAAGTACCCTCTCCCATGTGTGATCATGCTGGCATAAGAAAAAATATGGTTATGTTCAAAAAAGAAGCTCTCAATCATAATTCTATTTTCTTCACTACTTCTTCTTCGTTTGGAATGGCATTGTCTCCTCAATATTTTTGACATGTGTTACAAATCCGTGATGGAGGAGTAAAGTTTTTTCAATTTGGCTTGGCCATCATAATGGCATCAACACCAATACATTTTCTTGGGCATTCAACAACGAAGTATTATGGTATATTTTTGATCCTTTTCTGTTTGTTGTAATTTGTTATAATTTATTTCGTCATCCTCTTATTTTTTTAGTTAATGACTATAGGGATTGTAACTATGATTTTAGATTATGTTATATGGTCAATTCTTTCTGTTCTGTAATTTTCCTTCTTCACCTTACGCGAGTTGACAGGTCCTCGGGTGTGGTCAGGGTGGACATGGTGAACATATTAATGGGTCCCCTACATTTATGTAGGGGATACCCATTGACGTTGATGACATGTCCATTTTACCCTGACCCACACGATGGATCTGTCATACTCACGTTACCCTCCTGTTTTCTTTGTTGGTACATTATTAAATTAATTATTTGATCCAGTTAATAGTTGATATGTCGAGTCGTTCTGAAATGGACTGTTAAATACTGATTATGTGTAATTATACAATTCACAAAATACAAAGGCCGTTCTGAAGCCTGTATGTCTGTAGACATTTACTTCTACTTGCAATAAATCATAATGTTACCACTATGTGTGCCAAATAATGCATGTAAATAAAAGATAATTTATTGGACAGGAATCATATTAACTGGATCTGTTTTCATTCACCTGTTTCTGTTATGACTTGTGGTTTCATATTTATTATCTTATGTTTCCTATTCATATTTTCTTTTAGAATCCTTGATCATCATTTATTTGTTTATAATATTTTAATTCACATACTGTTAATTTGATTCAATATATTTTATTTATTAATATGCTTTAATTGTTCATTAAAATTTTTTTGTCATAATAATAAAAAAGGAAAAAAAACAATGAACTTATAATAATTAATAAATTTTAATCATTGTTATCATAAAGAATTCCTATTTTTAATTACTTTTCCACATAGAATAAAGTACAAAATCCCTGGTGCTCCGGCTTTGCCTCGGCCCAGGGTGGACCCTTCTTGGGATCCTTGTAAAGTTCGGCTGATTTTTATTAGTTTAGCTTACAAAGTATTTAACTTTGTGGAAACCTATTATCATTATTTTAAATCTAATTCGACATCTAATTTAAAAACATGTTGATTTTAATTGTCTATTTAGTGTAATAAACAAAAATTANATAAAATTAATGATTTTAATTGTCTATTTAGTGTAATAAACAAAAATTAACATAAAAAAGTAGGGATAGATTTGAATAGAGGAGTTGTGAGTANTGTTGATTTTAATTGTCTATTTAGTGTAATAAACAAAAATTAACATAAAAAAGTAGGGATAGATTTGAATAGAGGAGTTGTGAGTAAGAGGTGAGTTAGAGTTGAGATAGTATATGGGAATTTTGCGGTTTAATATGTAGAGTAAAGTAATAATTTTAACTACTCAATAAAGTTATTCCTATTATACCTTTTTTTACTCTTATTTACTATGTGAAGTCTTAAAGAGTAAAACATGCAAATAAATTTTGTGCTTACTTTTATTTTCTTAAGTTGTCATTCGAATTAATCTTCTATTAACTTCTCGGTTAAGTGTTAACAATCGTTTGTAGATTTATTCGTTTATTTTGATTAATTACATTTATGTATATATTAAATCTTAATCATCAATTCGCGCTTTCATTAACTTGACAAAATATTTCGTTCAAAAGTATTTTCTCCAATGTGCCCTGTTTCTATTATGATTTATTATTTTTTTATACTTTTAAAATTGTACAAGATTTTTACTAATAATATATTTGATAAATTCCTTATAGTCGATATTGATATTCTTAATACTTATTCTGAACTTGCCATACTAAAATTTTAAGAATATGTCTATGTATATTCAAAATATAGTCAACAAGACTGTGGTAGCTCAGAGTAAGGCCTTGGCTGGTACGGTCACAGTTAACCTTAGTTATATATATTAAATATTATTATAATACACTTATTAATATCTTAAATGCCAACTGTTTATGCGTTACTACCAAAAAAGAAGGACATAGCCGTAAGACTGGCGGGTACACACGCCAGGGTTGGGTTTATTATTATTAAAATAAATTAAAAAAAAAAAACCCAGCACAGGGGGGTCGTGGCACAGTTGTGACGGGTTATAGTTGGATCAAGTATAATGATATCTGACAGTGATTAAAATCACTATCAAAAATAAACGCTTCGATGCAAATTTTTAGATACTTTTTAATTTTAAAAAATTGGTGGACTATTCCAAAAGCTACTTGATCTGCTGGTTCCTTAATATCTCGATTAAGATAAAGTATGTCGAATGAAAAAGGGTTTATTAAAAAATATTATTTCTCATAAAAAAATTGTGTGGATCCATAAACTTTTCAATAAGTTATAGCATTATAAAGTTAAATATAATAT